AAAAATTTCAAGATAACGCATCAAATAAAATCAGTCCAAATGACAAATTTTGGAACCGATGTGGCCCACACTTGGCCCACATGTACTACGAAACAAATCTGTCAGTGCGAACAGGCCAGAATTATGCATAATGACAAATGAACGATACAAGTCACAAAAGGTTTAGGACAAAAGTAAATTTACATTCTGACAGAACAAACTCCTGCTAGAGAGAAGCAGATTGTCACGTATGCCATGGCAAAGTATGTCACGTAAGCGTAGCGTACAAGAATACGTTTATGTCTGGTATGAACTAATGGACTAGAACCCGTTGTAGCAGACTAACATTGATGAGGATATGGTTAATTTATGATCATGACCATGAACAACCACCGGGGCCACTTTACACAGAAAATACAACGATTTTAATGTTATGTCAGGACTATGTTGAACTACATGTACATGTAGTAGGAATACTCAATGTTTGTGAGACAATGCATGGTATGGAAACCTGAGAGAACCCAAGACTTGACAAAGGCTGACCACCACAGAAAAATGAGAAAACTTGATATGAGCAAGTTCACTAAATTGTAAAAAACCTGTGTATGCCAAAAGACACATTGTACATGTAACTGATCTTCAGGTCATAAGATCTGCCTCTTTGTTTGCATCATACAAGTAAGAATCTATCATTTCCTTCAGAACTGATGCAGGTACTGGCCTTTTCTTTTCAATTGGTTTAGAGAGCCATTGTTTAAGGTCTTCTAGAGTAAACTTTACGAGTGAAAAGATCGTAGGATCATCAATTCCAGCCATTTTGTGTGCCAAAGATATGGATGTTACCACCATAATATTGGTGCTGGGGAATTACACTTTTTACTTAAATGAGTTAAATATAGATATATAATCGAAGGGATCTGCGTTTATGTGCTTTTTCCAAGACCCTTAGCCCAACTGGTATTTTGCTTGCATTATATGTGAGTAAAATACATGTATGAACCCGGCGATCATATCGAGCCCAGCGTCGTACCTACGCACACCGCTGTGTAAACCATATGCACATGATTTGACTACTCACACATGAGAACGATGGCAACACGCGCATGCTCCGTTGGCTGCAGGCTTTTCCTGTTTTGTTTTAGTTTTGTGTGCAAAACTACTTAGAAAAGTTCACATTTTTCTTAACAGTGGACTGAGATCCCTAAACAAAATGATATAAGAAATAATAATGTTCGATTTGTCCACAGTTGCTAAAATTGCAATACAAAATAACTTCATAAGGGGCAGTAATTTCAAAATATTTTTGCTTAAAACATGCCCCAGCAAGGCTTAGAATGCACCACAGAGCATTTAAAGTTTAAAATTGTCCGGGGGCCTTCAGCGGGCCCCGAAACCCAATGCCGTAATGGCTTAGCGCTTTGTGCTCACAGTTTCAGTTTTTTTCACAATCCTCCAATCACATCCCTGCCAACATGAAGTAAATCTCCTAGCAAGGGCATGCTACATGCATCACTAACATTTCCAGTACACATTCCTCTGCCCATTCCACAGCTGTACATGTACATTCTGCCCTTCATTCTTGAAGAAAACAAATTTGTTCTAATTCGTACCCAGTCACTCAATTGAACATATTTACTTTCTTTAGTATATATTCATCCTAAATGGGTGTATTTTTTTGATGACTTTGGTGAAGTTTTATATTTGGAAATTACTGGTTCTTCCTTTAGTAAATTTCCTGACTGAAATGTTGGGTTTCTTGAGAAGTAAGGAGATACCAGAATATTAGCTTTTTGGTTGAATACAAGGTACATGTACATGTGTGTGTAAATCCTCCACAGTCAGTTGATTAAAGTTGCTTTTCTTTTGTTGCTTTTCAGGACTACAGTGAGAACACATCTGTGCTGGTCTACTGACACCATTGTGCTGTCATAGGAGGGAGGCAGCAGACAGACCACGCCCAGCCATTCCACTTTGTCACTCATTTAGTGGTCATTAAAGGACACCATTCAGGTTGACGGGGTCTGCTGATGAACAGTTGACCGACGGAGCAGGAAATTCATTAGGGCTGTAAAGGGGTGAGTTTCTATCAGGCCATTTTCGTCTTGTCTCAGGAAAGTTTTATGTCACTGTAATACATGCATCATGCATGCAAACATGTACATGTACTTGTGCACAGCCATATTGCCATACAACTACTTTGTTTTGTCAACATTATTTGTTTACAGATCCAACCAAAATATTTTACTCAGTGCCCAGTTGATACTTTGGTACATGTAATAAACATTTCACTCAAATTGGTAATATGTACTTGCATTGCAATCAGCTCTTGCTGGCCTTACAATAAGCAGAACTTTACTGTATCCCCTTATTGACGGCCTTGTTCATTGGGTCATTGTACCCTGCATGTGAAGTTTGACTTCACCTTTGTAATCATGGCTGCACTTACAGTGCTTAAAGATGCACTTGCCATTCGTAATGAAAGGCTTGTGGCAACAGTGGTCCATGCAGTCAAAGATTTTGCTGTAGAAT